CGAACCGTTTTAAAGTTGGTTTTATGCGCGATGCCCACGGCCATATCGTAAATTTCGGCAAAATCGGGATCGGTGGTGGAGAGATGAGCAGCATTCGTGCTCGAGTGCATCGTTCTCTCCAGATAGCGGGATTTTTATTATCCATCTCTCGTATTTTTGTTTTGTTTTTTTCTCTCTCTCTCGATTTTTTTTTCTCTCTCTTTCCTTTTTTCGGTTCAGAGAGAATCGTAGCTTGGAAACAGATAAACGTCGACGCGTTGTTGGTAATATCCGGTGAGAACGATCGTGTTCAACGTGTGGAATGATTCGTGATCCCTTTTTCGTGAATTTTCGAAGACATGTGGATTTTTGGAAACGAGGAGGAAAGATACGAGATTGATCGTATCCGCCATTTATTTGGCATTTAAAATAATTATATCGCCGATAATAATAATCGCAAGGATGTGTGTACATGAAACTAATGGGCGTAATTAATTGATCAATTAAGTGAAGCACTGTATATTGTTGTACATGGAGGATTCGAGTTGCAATTAAGTACAGAATAAATGGGAAATCTGCGGGAACAGATATCGATTCATTTAGAACAGTGAGATTGTGTTGCATTATTGCTCACTTATATGCAAACTTTTCGCGAAGAATAGATAAAGATCGATAAAAATGGATTATATATCTCTATTCTAACAGTATCATATTATAGATTACGATATTATATAAATATATAAATATTATAATTATAATTATATATTATAATTATAATATTATAAATATATAAATTGTACGGTGTGATTTAATCACAATGATTTACGAAGATATAAATTACGTGAATGATTATTTTGATTTGCGAAATGGCGAGGCCAAAGGTGAAATTTATATCCTGTTATCATTTTCCGCTTTAAAATGTACTTTCGGTTACTCTTTTTTTCCTTTTTTTTTTTTTATAAACTGCCGGAAGTAATATGGTCCGAAGAATACGTTGCAACAATTTTTTCCGGTTATCCTGGTGAATGCCTTACCCTCGTACATCAAATATGTCAACGGCAGAATACGTTCTTATCGGGGAAAAATTCGGAGAAATGGAAAGCCAACCAAAAAATTATTCGTATCGTATAAAATAGTAGACGACTCTAGTTGGATCGAAATTTTTTAAAGATCGTGTTTGCTATCTGCCATTGCCGGAGAATTAATAAAAAAAAAAAGTAGATAATTGTATTTTCGCCAAGAAAAATAAATCTTGTTTACGTAGAATCTTTAATTATATTTAAAATATTTTACCTTCCTTTTCAAAACGACATAACTTTCTAAATTATCTGCTATTGCTGCTATCGTATAAAACTTGAATTAATTTGACTATAAAAGTATAAAGTAAATTGAGATCTTCCAATTTGTAAAATAAACTCTGAAAACGTTTGCTTTTCTAATAAATTCTGCTCGAGTTTCCTCATTTTATTAACGAGATATATCAAAATCGTTGTGCAATGATCTTTGTTCCAGAAATATATATACTTGTTTGAAGCTTTTGCATAATCGTACATGGTTAATCAGACGCAGACATAATTGCCGTAAGAAGCCATGATGTATTACTGTTTTCACTGGAACAAATAGAATTTATAGTAGCACTTGGCTAAAACCCATTTCACTCGGATACCGCGAACGTTTCCGATAAAAGGAGGAAACTCCAAACGAGAGCACTCTCGACCCTTCATCCCCTCTCTCTTTACAATGCATTCGTTGCGGTTGGGACTTAATGCATCGTATGCATTCGATGCATTCATTTGCGAAATTCAGATTGAGAGATCTCTCTTTTTCTTCGTTTCTTTCTTTTTTCTTTTTCTTTCGATTAAAGAAGAGCAATCGTCAATTTTCTTTTCCTCCGAAAAAAGAGTTTTTGATTCAAAGAATTCGAAAAATCGAATGTTTGTAGCTATTGCTAAAATTGTAACACATCGATTATTTTATTTTTAATAAAAGAATACATTATTCTTAAGAAAAGATACTCGTCAAGTTTTACGGAAAAATAAACGTATAAAAGAAACGTCACAGATGTCACAGTCAGGTATTGTAAGCGACTAAAACGATGCAACAGGTAGAGATATCGACCAATTTCGCAATATTTGAAAAGCTTTGTTGGCACCATGTTTCTTTAACGATGCTGACTCGTTAATTGTTCCTGATCGATCTGTCAAAACTATCTCCAATTTCAATTCCAATGATTGAATAGTTGGTAAAAGAATTTTATAACAGGCAATCCTCACTACAATCTTTTATGACCAGAAGATAGCACATTCTTATTTTCAAATGTATGAAAAAAAAAAAAGTGTACTTTCGAATCGAAAACTGACATACTTAATATTTCAATAAATACTTATCTAAATATAAATGTCAAATAAAAGAAAAATTTGTTTAAATTATTTAAATATATAAATCTTCATTTTCTTCACAGTTGTTTTTTGATCTTGGTATTTTAACTCTCTTTTTCGAGGATACTATTATCATTAGTTCTCATCATACCCTTTTGTGAGGTTGCCAGTGTTCCTCGTTTTTCTTGCTGAAAATGAGACAATGTCAGTAATAATAGAGATACAGAAACAACTAACCTACAACCTTCCAGTGAATTTAATTTAATTTAACTTTGATAAAAACTTTCAACGATGATTTTATATTTTCATTTTTTATTTTTTTTTTCTTCGATAAAAACTTTACATGATATACAAAATTTTGAACTATTGGAGTGCATAATCTTTTCACGAAACAAAAATATCATGTAAAAGTACAATAGAACCTAAATAATTGTAGAACAAATAAAAGCTAAATAGAAACTGAAAAGTAAGTTGAAATCCTATTTTTACGGACGATCGTATAAATATTTGATTTTCGAAGTTCGAGATAAATCTGGAAGCCCTGTTTTTTGTGGCAAGGCTTTACAAACATTTGACTTAGAAGTTCAAAATGAAATTCGCAGCTATGGTTTCGTGGAAAGATAAACTAATGGTATATTTATATGTCAAGAAAAGTAAAATATACTCTCCTGTCTATAAGTATTGAATAAAACAAGATAAACTTAAATTTTTATCTTACTATTTAGTATTATCATTATTATAATTTATATTATTATACGGTATTCGTTTCATTTTTAATGAAAATTCGATTTTACTTCTTCACTGAATACTTTTTTAGTAGTTTTCTAACAGTTAATGCATCATTAATTCCTATAATTTTTCCATATATAATTCTTACAAATTCTTAAATTTTTACTATATATCTTACATCATTTTGTACAGACATTCTAATCAATTATCACTTCTCTGATAATGTTTCGTTATCGTCTATTAACTAAAAGGAGTATTATATTATATACTTACAAATAGAGAAATATATGTAAATAATCATGATTAATACGTTGCATAGTGATTGTTTCACCATACGAAGTTAATACGCATTACATCAGGTTTCTTGTTTCCAAATGTCATTCCATCTAAAGGCAGAGTGTGTTAATCGAGCGCTAATATGAGGCTATATATGCATGTATGGATGCACTTACATAGGCTTATTTGATCTCGAGTAAATGCTCTATCCTGTCACTTATACTGTCAAATTGGATCGCGTGACATCGTAAGCCCTTGTACTACCTAGATAAACCTCCTGAGTAACTCTGACCCCTACTCTCTCACCATGATAAAGTGGGATCCATTTGAGCTTATCAGTCGCCTCCTTCCTAACCTCTCTCACCCTTTCTCTTTTTTCTTTCTTTCTTTTTTTTTTTTTTTCCTTTTACATGGAAAAAAACTATGAATCGACCAGAGGAATCGTCCGAGTAATTTTTCCTAGTAAATTACCGCTGAAAACGTTAGTGGAAAAACGTACGTCGAGGTTTGTGAGTTCTATGTGAAAGACGATGTGAAAGAAACGAATTCAGGAACGTTCGATTTTTCAGGCGACGTTAACATCCCTTTATATTCATCGTGATATGAACGTTGAACGATATTTCTTTTCGTGAGCATGTTTTGTAGCATTCATTTCGTATGGATCATACGTGTTATCAATATTTGTAGCCTTTCAAGAAAATGGTAGACGACGTCCCAAGAGATACGTTACAAGACAGTTTCCTTCAAAAATAATGGTGGATCTTTTAGTATCGCTGAATGGAATACTTAGTACGTTTTATTCCTTTCGTGTAACACATTTTGGGTTTATTTATGGCTATTAAATATGCATATCATAATTTTATATGTGAAGATCCTTTTACGCAAGTGGCTCGTTTCTTTGCATTCTCAATATTAGTGGAACAAGCATAGACTCCGTGAAATTTGTATGGTTTAATAAAGAATAATGCAACGAACGAAAATCTAACTACTTGTAAAAAAATTTTTTTATTACTATTCAACTTCTGATTTTAATAATTTTCTCGAAATATAAATTTGAACTTTAAACTTATTTTATTATCACTCCAGAATTATTGAAATCGAAAGATGAATCATATAAAAAATTTTTGGATTGAAAAATACATAAATGACAAATGAATAATAAACTTGATAATCGTGAATTAGTAAATTTACTACCGGATTAAAAATTCCTCGTGATGTTGCTTCTTCATTTTCTTCCTTCATCATGGTTGACATTGTTTGGTGGAGGTCGTTGGTGGCACGGTTGTCTCTTAGAGGAAGTTAATCGCGCGTAACATTGCTCCTGTATATCACCATCTCTCCTACATTTTTACTCCCATTCTTCCCCTAGTTCCTTTCTTCTTTTCATAGCACATTACGCCGGCGAACAATGCCACATTGATTCTTTCGTTTTTGCTTCCTCTTTCCCCCATTGCTCCTTCTGACGCTCTTAATGATTAGTTTCTTTCTGTTGATACCGCTTGAATGGTTTCTCCCGGTGAAATTTCGCCTCCGTTTAATTCATATTTCAGCGTCTAATATTATTTCTTAAAAAAAATATCCCGTTGAATTTTTAATATCGAAGAAATAATTAATTAGTTGTAGAAATTAATTAAACTATGAAAAAGATTAAATATTCGCAGGCTTGCACGTGATTAAGAAAAGATGAATTTGAAATTTATAAAATTTCGATCTTTTACTATTTACTCAATCTAATTAAGAATCTGTTTTAATAAAAATAAATAAACTTTTCGTAAGATGTACAAAAAGCAACTATACATCCCTCCATTGCAATCCCTCGATTTTAAATAATATAATATTTCGAATATCGTTTTACCACGTTACGTTTGATTTCCGCTACGATTTTCTTCAAGTTAGTGCAGTTTTATTTTGCGCACGTTTCTCACTGCTCTCCATTTCGACTGTCTAACGGAAACGGCCACATTCGTTTAACCTTCGCCCTTAAATTTCCCTCTCTCACAATAGTGTCTGAAGTTTGTGGAGGCGACACGAGTTACGACGTCTCGTTACACTCCTCGCAAAATATATATACTGAAGAAACGCCTTCTTGCGCGTTATCTTCAAGGTATTTTCAACGTACGTTAGTCACTCCAAAATTTCTTTGATGGTGACTTTTTCGATTGGTCCTTTAGTTTTATCGAACGAAAAGTCGAAAGAAAAATTCTACGGAAATGTTCGACACTCGATTTTTTTATTATCATTATTATCATTATTATTATTATTTCGATTTAAATCATAAATTGATTGGTAAAGTTTATAGAAATTCTTGCGTGTACTTTTGGAAGATCGTTTGTTTCATCATATCCATATATATATATAGAGTTTGTAATAAATCGGATTAAATGAAGCTTCTTTGGCAACAACATAACATTTTGAATGAACGAAGCTGTTAATAACATCAACAGAGAGTTCTAATCTCGACGCTTCTTAATCCACTGTTTTCACAGCTTCTCGTGTTGCCGATATGGGCAACTTTTCAAAAATATTCCTTCTTTTTTTGCCCACTAAGTTTGATATCATAAATTACCATAAGAAGATATATCAATATTTCTTATAAACTTATAATTTTATCATTTCAATCATGGATACAAGTAAAATTTTTATTATCTAATAATTCAATATTTTTGTTCAAAAAGAAAAACATCATTCTTCTTAATTAAAATATTTTATCCAATGTTTTTTTCATCAAATATATTTTAAATCTCGTTTCATTTTTCACAATTCTAAAAAATTTGCACGAACTTTAGAAAACGTTTTAATTTATTTATCCTAGGAGAAACGACATAGAGAAAATGATAAAACTTTTTTCAAAACGGATAGATGAGACTATCATTAAAGGATAAAATTTTTGTATAAATTTCAAATTTCTCCTCGATCTAAATCTATTATTAATATTAAAAACTAATTTATTTTTCATATCGTCATATCGATCCTCTCGCACATAAATTCCCTCTTTTTTCCTCTTTTTCCTCGGTCTCTCCAGTTTTCCACGTTGGCCACCTTTCATCGCCGGTGTTCCATGATTTTCTTCCACGTAGCCGGTTCCTCGAGAAATCGTTCTCGGGCTGATCCAGACAAGATACTACACGAGGAAGGGGCCAACAAGAACCAGAACCAGACACGCCCCACAGTCCCAGACTTCCGGTGTTACAAGCAAAACGCCGGGGTTCGGCAATTTGTCTGAGAGTGATTAATTAGTGCCGGTATTTGGCCAGTGTTTCAAGGGACGATGAGCCAGTCCGGCCGCGGCTGAAATTTACGCGGAGACGTATGAATACTTTATGGCCGCTCTGCGTTAATATTGCAACGAGCTCCAGTAGACTAATCTCTCTCTCAGTTATAACGAGCTGTGTTTGGAAAACCAGAAACAAGTGAAAAAAACAATCATATCACGGTAAAATACACCGTTTCCTGTTTTTCCACTGCGCTTTATTTATATTTATATTAATTGTTTACTTGAAAATTGTGAAATGCGTTCAAATTTGTCGAGTTATGTGTATCATTGCAGAAATGTTTCGTTTATTTTTTTAACGTATCTCATCAAATTTATCATTATTTGAAAATTGTGGATGTGACGTATTTGTCGAATTATGTGTACACATCGGTTGTAAAAGTGTATTATTTAAATACTTTATTTAAGTTTGTATTAATTGCTCGTTTTTTACTCGAAATCGTGGAATTTGTTAACACTTGCTACGTTACACTTTCGAGGAATTAAATATAGAAGCGAAATTCTTTTTTTCTATTTATAATTTTTAAAATTATTTCAAGTATCGCGAATCGCTTGAAAATTATTATATTTTTATTAATTTTATATATTTTTGTTTAGTAATTTATTTCTAATAACGTTTCTTTTCCTGTAAAAATAATTTTGAATAATAGATTTGTAAGTATTATATAATTGTGTAGGAATAAATTTTAATTTTTTCAAAATTAATATATAATATTTCTAAGATTAATGATTCATTTTTATTAGTTATTTTTACGAATTAAAGTAGCAATTTCTAGAGAAGCCTCTCTAAAATTCTCGTTTTCACGAACACTAATGAGGGAAAAAACGGAAGTATATTAGCCCGATGGAACAAGAAGCGTGAAATTTCACAGGCGAACATCCTAACATATTACATGAACCATAAAGTGAGATTTGTCGAGCTATTTTAAAAACTATCTCTCCACATAAATACCTGTTTAAATAATTCGAAAGACAATATATGAAATTGTATAAACTCCAAAATTCCAATAAATATTCAAAATTATCGTATAATTTATTAGAATAAAATAATTAGCGATAAGTACTTTTTAAAAATTTTATGATTTTGCACTCGTGACGATATAAGAGAAAGAATTTAATAGAATTGGAAAGTTCTTCAAGAAAAAGAAAAATTGTATAAAATAGAGAAAATAGATATGCTCGAATATTGATCGAAGAAAGAAGCTATCAAAGCTATCTGACAGATCAATTGATGCAGTCGTTCGACCAATGAGAAAATCATGACTTCGATCCGATCGACATTCGACGTCTATAAGAAATTGAGAGGAAATAGTTCGAGAAGAACGAGAAGAAGAAAAAAAGATAAGAAATGTGCGTCTGGACATACGATTGGACTAGCCTGTAAAACTATCAAAATCTTCACCATAGATGTAGAATCATTCATTGTGGAATCGAAGGATTTAAATATTATCCTTACAAAAGTCCAAAAAGTAGCAATATAAATATCTTAGAAATTATAGACATTTCTTAAAAATCAAAATCTTCAATATTCTCTATTTTTTCCAAAGTATCTTCATTCATAAATAATTGATTAACATTCTTGAAAATTCTTGAAAATTCTTCTTGAAATATAATCGAATAAGTATATATATATAAAACTGCATAATTCTAACAATTCTTTATTTCACTAAGAAACAAGGCCACAAAAAGATAATTATTCTATATTTTTCTTCAAAAACCCATACATGTAATTTGATATGAATTTTCTTCACGTACATATCAGTATACCTGGAATAACCGAAATATAACGAAAATTAAAATACTGTTCACGTCTGTTTCTCACCTCAAAAATTATAGACGAGCTCAATTATGCTGCACCGACAGACAGATGCGCCATTTGTTCGTTGTTGTCGTTTGAACACATTGAGATGCATTTGGATATCCGTGTGTACACGGCTTCCCTCGGCTCGCGTAATTCCTAGGCAAGGTGTTTCGTCTAGCACGGAGTCCCATTCCAGACTTGGAACTTACGTCACCTATACGGTGAGAGAACGGCGCGGCGGTTTCATCCGACTTGATGGATGTGGCGTGCATCGTGAGGTCGTGGCTGGCTGCTGCCTAGAAAGCAGCCGTTTCGTGGCTGATGGAGAATAGAAACGCCCGAGGAATCGGCCAACCGAAAATTCACGGAACCGAAACCGAACTTGCCGCGCCACCATATTAAACGTTTCTGTTTGACTGAACGTCGCGCTATTAATTCTGCCAGTGGAGCCTTGGAAAAATTCAGGCGCTTTAATTCTTTTTTTTTTTTTTTTTTCC